CTGTTTCTCCAGCTCAGAAAGCCTTTTTTACGTCTCCTACGCTTCACAGGCGCTTTAAAAATCCGAAAATTCCGCTAGACTCCTCTATACACTTCCATTAGTTTCGGGATTTTTTGAGCGTCTGATCTTGACCGTCGGCTATTCCTAATCACATGCCTCCATTTGCCAGGAAGGAAATATTTATGTTTCTGTCTGTCTGTCTGTCTTCTGTCTCTTTCTCTCTCTCTCTCTCTCTCTCTCTCTCCCTCTCTCTCTCTAGCTCTCTCTCTATATGTCTCTCTGTCTCTCTCGCTCTCTCGCTTTTGATGCGTCTGCCTTTTCTCTCTTTCTGACCCATCCACTGCCCTTTAGCCGACCATTTTCTATGTCCACTTTGCTCTCACTGGGAACACACACGGCTGGAATGAGCCATAAATTGTGTGGCTGAACGGCTTGCCCTCGCCGCGGCTGGAAACGTTTTCCTAGTCTCAGGTGGTTTTTGCGTGAGTAGCTCATTTGTCCGGGCAGCGCAATGTGTTTCTGAGCGGCGGCGGCGGTCGGGCTTTTGCCCTACCGCTGATCGTTGGAGTTCAGCTACTATTTGGCTTTACGGTGTCTCGGGGAAAATTTTTTTATTAAACGCTTATTTGAAAGTTATATATTTTTGAAAGCTTAATTAATATAAAATTCGAATTTTGTTTTCGTTTACCTACAAATTGGTGCTCCCAATTTGACTTCTCGGACTCCTTGAAGACGCGCGTCATTTTACTCAACTCTTCTCTCATTTTTATCATTTTTTTGCTTCCTCGGAATTCCCGCAGATTTTTTAAGGTTCATTCAGCCACATAATGTTCCATCTCTCCCATTCATATACTTTTTTAAATGGACGTGGCAACTTTACCTGCCTATTTTGTTAATCACCAGTTTACGCCTGGAACTTTCGGTTTGCTGCAATTCACCGTATGATCAAGAAGGAGACCGTAATTAGTACTAAGCAGTGTTTTACATACTTAAAAGTTCAGTAGATATTTTATAGGCATGGAGAATTCTTCTGAACGGTTGGAACTCGTCTTGAATTTGGACCTAATCCGTTGTTGATATTGATCTTCTAAACGTCTTGATCATGTCGTCATCGTTTCGGCAGCATTGGTACAATTTGCAACAATTTTTTCTGCGTCTGAACGTTTCCAACTTCTCGTAAAACGGCCTTGCCGTATGTGGGGCTTTTTTTTGCAAATTTCCTACTGTATTTGAAAGCCTAGATCAAGCCCCAGACACGGTTCCTGAAGAAATTACAGAAAAACCACCCTGCATTACCCCAGACGCTTTTTGGCGGCAATTTCTTGAGATGGGGAGGCAATGGGCGGCGATCAAACTTTTTGGCGGGGTCAATAGATCACAGGTTGGGACGTGCGGACAGCCGTTCCGATCGGAAACTCCTGCTATCTCGCGCTGTCTTTCTCTCTCTCTCTCTCTCTCTCTCTCTCTCTCTCTCTCCTCTTGCTATAACTTTACAACCCCTTTAGCCGGTCCCTCCCTCCGTCCGCTCCGTGTTCACCGGAAAGTCCCGGAAAAACGGGGTGCCCCCCGGGGCTGCAAGGGCGTCATTTAGGAAACACAACCCGGGGGCTATCATCGTAAATATTTTGCACCCCCAGGAATTCGGGTGTTCCTGGGATTGTGACTCATTTTGGGGGAGTTTGGGGTTTTTGAGAGCTTTTGGTTTTGAGGCTTGAAAGCTGAAGTTTTAGTGATTACATCATGCTGTTTATTTGATGCCCTAAAGCACAATTTTTAGCTTATTTCACTGCTCATATGTTTCCGATACCTCAAAGAAAAATTATAGAAATTGTTGGTACTTTTTACACGTTTAGCGCTTTATAATTCTGACCTTTGATACCGTTAGAATAGATTTTCCGATTTATTTTTGTATTTTTGATTTTAGATTTATTTGAATGTCTCCTCAAGGTTTTCCTTTCAATAAATAATGCCGTAATTTTTATATATAATTTTTTGCAGCCCGAATCAGCCAAGACGCCGAGCACGAGCTTCTTCGTTGATGGTGAGCTGCTAGAGGCGGACGGAACGACGACCACGGCTTCCGGCGACACCAAGGTAGGCGGGAGAGAGAGAGACAGAGCGAGAGAGCGAAAGAGAAAGAGAGAGAGCGAGTGAGAGAGCGAGAGAGAAATAGTTTTTGGATACCTAAACCACCGGGTATCAATTGAATCGTATTTTTCAGGTCCTCCGCAAGCGGATGGCCCCGGCTCTGGTTGCACCCCCCATGCGTACTGGGAAGGTTGGTTTTTGGACCGAAAATATATTTGAGTCTCATAGTGCTTTAATTTAAACATTAATACGAGGTATAAATAACAGCTCTCCTCTTATCAGTCCCTGAAAAACCAGCATTAATGATAGGGGTCATCTTGGCGCCAATTATCGATTTTTCGTTGCTTGGGCTAGCGGAAAAGTCTTTATCGTTCTATTTTCCTCTATCTATATATTATATTATTGTATCTTCATATTTCAAGCCCATTAAAAAGATTGTGATATATTAAACTATTTGGTACTTGATTCAAAAATTTATTTTATCAGATTTACAGTCAAAACCGGCCGGTTTCAGATTTTCCGCGCGCTCAGTTCAACGCCGATTAACAGCTTTTAAAATACGTTATTTTCAATTATTTTCAAGAGGCGTTAACACTAATTTATCGGATTGTCTGAAGATTTCTTCATTTTTCGTTATTTTCCGAAAAATTTGGTACGATCCGCCCTTCCTTGTCCTCCATTAGTTCAATGAAAGTGCCGAAAAGCTTGGGGATTTTGTGTGGTCACATTTTTTCTTGGAAGAGAGATAGTGAGAGAGAGAGAGAGAGATAGAGAGAAAGAGAGAGAGAGAGATAGAGAATGAGAGACATAGAGGGCCCTTAAAAAACATCAAAAGACGCAAACCGGCCCCTGCTGCCTTTTGGGACTGACCCGAAGTGACGGGGGTTGGCTGTCTGTGTGGTGGTGTTGAAGTGATCAGCTGTTCGGGGCGCCCGACCGGGCAAATCATGCGCTTTTATTGATTCGTTTTGCCCCACCCGCGTAGGAAAACCGCGTCCTTGTGTACCTACACGAGCACTAGCAATTTGACTGTATTTCAGGGTTAAAACGGAATTTCTGATACCCAGGATCTCGCCTTAAAAAGCGGAAAATCGGGAATTTCGGATGTTTAATTTTTCCGTAATTTTTTTCTAGGAGTGTTGATTTTTCTACCGACAGAAAAAGACACTAATCATTTTTTTTACGATGCGGAATTTAGCTAATTAGCTGAGCATGGGCATTAATACCTAGAAAAACCGTTAAAAATCGGCCAAATTCCGGATTTTTGCGCATTTTTGAAAAATACCCGGAATTTTAGCTATTTTTACGGTTTCCATGAGCAGAAAAGAACCCAACGACGCGGTTGAAAGCTACGTTTCATATTTATCTACTTACCTCGAGCGTTCAATACCGAGAAATAATCCTCAAAAACGGTGAAATTTTCTTTTTTATATTTTTAAAACCAACCAAGGATGTTCACGATTTTTCAAGGTTTATCGCGATAAAAACACCTTTATACTTCTTAATTTATGTATATTCAAGGGACTTTCTCAATTTAATTAAGAATCCTATTAATATACCTTTTTCAGGACGCAAAGATGGACATCACGGCCCCCGTCGGCATCGTCGGTGATCCGTATCTGGTGAGTTTTTTTCGCTTAAAATTTCGTTCTCTTTTACAATATTAATTTCCTCATTTTCACTCCCACCTCCGCTCACTAATCTCTCCTCAAAATCTGAAACAATAGGGTCCGGGGCGGTGGTCATCCTTTTTGCCTCACCGCGCGCCCAGCTAGAGCGTGAAAGTCGACGCCGGCCGAGATTTTCGGAGAAATTGAGCGCGAGTGGTCGAGAGTCGGTTTTTGGAGGAATTTTGCGGAGCACGAGCACAGATTATTATTTCATTAACTACAAATTTGAGAAATTCCGCGGCTGGTTTATCGCTATATTTATGCGAATTTGACCGTCAGTGCAATTGCAATCTTTTTTGTCTGATTTTCGTGCCTTTTTTAAGAATCTGAAGGTTTACGTTATTCATTTACGTTAGATCCTACTATATATAAAAAATAGTTCCTGTGTGTGTGTGTGCATTTGAATGCAACTTCCGTCACCGTGTCCGGAGGATATCTCAAGAGGGGAAGGGCGTTAAGCTACGTATGATACGTCATTAGGTGCGTAACGTCCTCGAGATGACTGCACGCATATCAGATTTTGCAAATTATGCTATTTTCGACATTAAAATTCAGTTTTTGTTGAAAAAATCGGCAGCCTTCTTTGTTAGGAAATAATTAGCATACGCCGGAAGTGGCGGAAGCCTATATATAACGTGAGAGAGTGGAATTCTTCATTTTTCCCTCATAGGAATTCGAGAGACGTATGCAGAGTGAAGAATTTCGTCAAGTTGGACGGGGCCAGGGCTGAAAAGTCGCGAAGCGGCTTTTCAACCCTGGTTACATCTGAAATTCATTAAAAAATGTAGCGATCTTGGCGATAATTTAGTTATGCAAATTTTGGCCGCCTGAATTCGATTTCCCAAATTTTTCTTGATTTTTTATGATACCGTAGATAATTTTATTTATGCAAATTCCAAAGTTCAAAAAATTAGGTTTGGTTAAATTTTGAGTTTTAATCAGCCGGTGAGTCGGAATTACATCACGTCTCGATTTTTGGCAATTAGCATAGCGGGCATTGGTCGATGGTTAGTGCCAGCCGTGTGCAAGGGTCTAGCTGCTAGGGTCCCAGGCCGTGTGTGTCCGTCCTGAAAAGTGTGTAAGATCCGCGAGTCTTCACCCTGTGCTGCCACCCCGACCGCTCTCGTTCTCTCTCTCTCTCTCTCTCTCTCTCTCTCACTCTCTCTCTCCCTCTCTTTTCGTTTCCGGTCCTCCCTGGCCGGCTAGTCTGGACGGATCAAATTTTGCATTTACGGCCCGGGTTTGTGGGCATTGCTTATTGATTCTTTTGGGTTCTTTTATGATTTTCGGGGTTAATATAGCGTTATGAACGCTGTTAATAGAAACTTAGAACGGCTACAAACTACAGTAATGCATCAACGTCTTAGAAAACGACATTGTTGCTAAAATCGAGGTTTTGACATACCCGTAGACCTCAAAATTTCTTAATTTCTGGCTCAAAACGATTTTTATGTATGAAAATCTTAGCACAAATCTTATTTGATCATTTAATGAATTTTGGTCCTGGTATTTGGCAGAAATTTGATTTCTACTAGACTGCAAACCACAATAATTCTAAAAAACGACTTTCGCGAAAATCCGCCGCGCTTTGAGCCCTGACTTTTGCATTTTTGGGCAAAGATTTGATTTTTTCACCCCCTCTACCGGCCACAATTTTGCTAAAATTAACTGATCATTTTTAACGCTCTTTTTCAGCAGCAATCCGGTGGCCAGACCGGCTGGGAGCCGCAAACCCGCGGCGCGCCCCCGTACGCAGTCCCCGCCGGCTATCCGCAACAGTTCCAGGAGGGACCCTTTCAGGTAAATAGCTCTTTATGTCTATGGTTTTGAATTATTTTTGATTTGCTAAAAAATTGCTCAGAAAAAAGCACTGAAATTTTATGTATGAAGTTTTATCTTGATTTTAGCACCAACAACTCGTCCCGCCCAACCCGCAAAACTACTATTCGATCGCGGGCCCTAGATTGGTGAGTTTTTGTAAAAGCCAAGGTTAGCTTAGGCTTAGCGTAGGCTTAGCTTAAGCTTAACTTAGACTTAGATTAGGCATAGCTTAAGCTTAGTTTAGGCTTTGCTTAGGCTTAGCTTAGTCTTAGCTTAGGCTTAGTGTAGGCTTAGCTTAGGCTTAAATTAGGCTTAGCTTAGGCTGAACTTAGGCTTAGCTTAAGCTTAACTTAGGCTTACCATAGGCGTAGCTTAAGCTTGGCTTACTGTAAAGTGTTTTTACTCAACTTGGAGTTTCGATTCGGGACCAAGTGCATCTTGTACAGAATTTTTCGCTGATTCCGAATATGTTTTCCAAATTTGCTACGGACCGTTATTCTGAAAGTTATACGGCAGTTATGACCTTAGTTTTCACCAAAATGAAGGTATCGTTATAGTTTTCGATTTTCTTCATTAATTTCAACGTCAAAATTGACTAGACGTTGGCTCGACAAGGATCCTACAGCTCAAAACAAGCATGTTAGATAAAAAATTAGATTTTTATGCAAAAAGCAAAAGAAATGATGCAGGGCAGGGGTTCGAACCGCCGCCCTGCGCTTGGCAAGCGAGTACTTTGCCAATGCACCATGGTGCCAACTGGGAAGGGTGCTGTCAGAGGGTACTTCAGGGCCACTGGGCACCATAGCCCCAAACAAGGAATAGTGGGCCAGCGCCTGAATTTTTGGCATTTTTCCGCCTAATTGTTACCAAAAATGATTTTTTAAATAAAAGTCCGTAGCAAATTTGGAAAACATATTCGGAATCAGCGAAAAATTCTGCACAAGATTAGCTTGGTCCCGAATCGAAACTTCAAGTTGAGTAAAAACACTTTACAGTTAGGCTGACAATTAATGCTATTTAAAGTGTAATGGGGTCACCCGACTCCACTGGCATATATTGGCACACAACTGAACTGTACTGTTACCCGGCAAGAGGGGCGCGAAAATGAGGGTAAATAAGGGAGAAAGGAGAGAGAGAGAGAGAGAGAGAGAGAGAGAGAGAGAGAGAGAGAGAGAGAGAGGGAGAGAGTGAGAGAGAGAAGGAGACGAAGAAAACTGAATTGTTTGACTTGTACACGCCCTTCCGACTCCATCTCCTCAAAGCCGGGGGCCGGATTTTGCCGGAACGCGCGCGTTATTTTGAACTTTGTAGTCGTTCGATCAATCGATATTGTGGATTACATACTTTAACTGAGCTTTGAAGGGACAATGACGGCAAGAAAATGATTTTTTTGCGTGCTGTTGGAGAATTGAACTAGCTGTCATTGTCCCTTTAGGCCCTACGTCTAACAATAAGCCGAAGACTAAGCCCAAGCCTAAGCTTCATTCTAAGCCAAGCCTAATTTCGTTTTGAAATGATTATCCGAAATTTTCGATATTTTTTCTTAGCTGACACAATCCCTTAAAAACTGAAAAATTACAAGCTTTTTTTAAAATTGTCTTTTCAGTACGACAAGCAGTACGGGTTCACGATGACGCCGGACCAGCTGCGGAATCCGGCGCGGAACCCGAACGAGGTCGTCCGGCCCAGCCGCCCCATCTACCGTAACCCGAACGAGGCGCCGCTACGCAAGCTTACGGTGGATCTCATCAAAACCTACAAAAACATCAATGAGGTACGGTATTTTTGGGGGATATTATTATTTTGATGCTGCCACTTTTTGATCGTATTTACCAAGTCCAGACTAGTCCAGTCAATTGATAAGAATTTTCCTTCCGTTTTGCGAGTTTTTCCGCTGTACTGTACGTGACTGTACGCTACTTTAGGTCACTATGCGCTACTGTACGTTACTGTGCGCTACGCTACGCATGTTTTTCTTCTTTATTTCCTGGCAACGTTAGGAAACCGGAAAAGCCGATTTTTTGAAATTTTTTCTTAGAAATTCCAGCCTAGATCAAACATCTCATTTTTACTGCCGTCCAAATAATTTTTCGGCACCCGCTTTCTGGCCGTAATTTCCATGTAAAAGCCAATTTTTTGCCGCCGGCCGGGCCATTAATCCGGCCGCGCAAAATTTGTAGTACTCCTGGCGGCGCCAAGGGGCAGACACCAACAATTAATTGGATTTTTGGAGGTGATTTGAGTTGGTTTTTTGAGGTTTATGGACTTTATTCGAGGAAAAAATCTGTGTTTGTAAATGTCCAGGCTTTAAATAGAAAAGAACGAAAAAACCTAATTGAAAGGCTAAGAAATATCAAGTTTGGGGGTTTTTGTTACCGATATATTGACTTTTCATTTCTTAGCGGTTTTACAATGCCATGATGGTTTCGCAATTAACAAGTTTTAAAATAGGTCTAACAATTAATATTTTATAAAAGCTAGCCAATTACTGATTATTACTATTTACAGCTTCAAACTCCCCTCCGCTTTATCTCGTTATTCCAAATTTTCTAGGTAGACAGGTGAAATTCCAATTCCGATATACTCACACCCCCACCTCCACCCTCGCCCTCCCCCCCCCCCCCAATACTCGAATACATGACAAAAAATAATACCCAGAAAATACCCCCGACATTTTCATTATTTTCGCGGGGCCACCCGGCCGGTCGTGAGAACGGCCCGGATTTTGTAGCTCTGAAATTATGAAATCATCGTGAAAATTGGCTCGTAATTTTGGAATTTTCAAATTTCATTCTTTTTGCTATAAGATCGCGTGAGGCAGCTACTCTCACGAGCTACAGTAGCCCATGAAAACCGTCGATTTGAATAAAGCTTTGAAAGTCCGTATATATACTTTGGAGGTGAGTTCTGAAACTCAGAAATCAGTAGTAATTGGCCAATTCCGTAGCGATGCTCTTGGCGTTGAAAACGTAGCCTTATGTAGTTAGTAACAGTTTAAAATACAAAATTCCGGATCTAAACCCTTGACGGTCACACTCTGGACGTTTCTTTCTGGAAATCAGAAATTTGTAGATGTTGGCCAATTCCGTAGCGGTACTCGTGACAGTCAATCCCTATGGCTTAGAAAATGTCTAAAATACCGAAAATTCCGGATCTGAACACTTAGCGGTCCACAGTCCAGCCTCAAGAACAAGACGTTCCGCTTCTGAACTCGGCACGTCCGATCAAATGTCTAGAAAATTCCGTTAATTCCCTATCCATACTCTTGACGCTCAATCCATTAACTCAAAAATCCCTTAAAAAAAATTCGAAGCCGGTTCTGTTTTGTTCGAAAATCTCGACGACCCGGAGCGGGAAAAGCTGTAAATTTTAACGGACGGCCCCGGCGCAAGCTGTTCGTTTCACGGTGCAAATTAGTGCTCATTTTACGGCCTAAGCGGATTTCGGGTCATGGGCATGTTGTGCATGGCTCGGCTGTTAGTTTTTGAGCACGAAGTTTTAGCGTTAGCCAGCCGGTTTCTTATTGAAGAATTTAAAAATATGGAATATTTTGTTATGATCCACCTTATCAATTATTTCCAAGATTCTCCTTGTCTAGAAAATTAAAATTCACAAAGGAAAACCTGGATATTGGGCGTCTCCTGCGTTTATCTAAAATTTTTGCATAATTTTTGCATTTCCACAATTACAAAAAATTATTTTCTTATCCTGGAATGCATTTGTCATTCATTGCCACCCGTTGCAGCCCGTTCCGCCACCCCCACATTTAATAAGCCGTCGCGTGGTTCCTGTAAATTCTTGGAATTCCTTTTTTAGTGGCAGAAATTTAGCTATATTGGCCAAAATACGTTTTTAAAAATGCTTAAAACTTATTTTCAAACTCTAACATCAGCGTTATGGAGTAGACGCAAATTCTCGTTGCATCGGGCACTTATTCTGCAGATTTCTGCATCGGGGGAGCAAAATGGGGAAAGGGCTAGCTCAATATCCCCCTCGTCCCGGCAGGATTTTTGGTCTTTAGGGCTCAAAGTTTATGGCATGTTCTTAACGCTAGTAGCGTATTTATTAGAATTTTAATCCTAAAACTTTAAAAAATTGATCTTACGCAGTTTTACGATACTTTACCTACGCTACGAGGCTTTATCGACGTTACTTTACGTCACTAAGGGCTGATACCTTTAACGTGATACCTTATGCTTTGACCAAGCGATACCTTCCCGTCCTCACTAACCTAGCACGCACGCTACTATATCGTACCAGATTACGCTTTGTACCGGGTGTACCTCACAACTCTTCTTAAATTTACGATATCTTCTGGACGCTGGGGTACTTTGGGTACGTAACGAAACCATATGGACGTTGCTCGTCGTAGATCTCGCTTACCTAACGCATACTTTACGTATAATATTTGATGTATACCCACCATCAAGTATTCATTGATGCACCTCCTACACACCTACAGATACCTTACGTACAGGCCCGTAGGAGGGGGGGCCCAGGGGGCCCTGGCCCCCCCCCCCCCGAAATCGGTCGAGGTCTGAAAAATTCATAAGGGGGACCCTTATGATTTTTAATTACAAAAATTTTTCTGCCTGCGGCGCTGTTTATTACTGTTTTTCAAACAGTTTTTACTTATATGCAGCCTATTTTTTCAAATTTTTTTGCCTGCGGCGCTGGTTTTTCATTGGTGAATCAATTGTCATAAAAAATTTTCGCTTGCGGCGCGTTTTCTGCCTTGTTTTCACACGAATTTGAGTGTAGCGAACGCTTTTTTGCTATTTTTTTGCCTGCGGCGCTATTATTGACGCGATTTTTCGGATGTTTTAAAAGTGGCGACCGGGGGGTGGGGGTGGCGGGGAGGTCGCCAAAATTTTTGGGCCCCCCCCCCCGAAATTTCGGTTCCGCTACGGGCCTGCTTACGTTTATCGTAGACATCTTTGCGCTTACCGCACACATATTTCCTACTTTGATGTTCGCGTTTCCAATCCCCCGGCTGCTCATACCTCCTCCTCGCCGTTACCCAACTTTGATGGAATGTCAGAAAACTTAAGGGCCTCTTGCTTTTCAATTCCCCTTGTTTCTTCGTAGTGAAAAAAGCTTTCCCTGCCCCTCCCCGGGGGCAAATCTCATTTTCGCGCATGGCGGGACCACTCAAGACTCGGGGGGCCCGGCCCCCCTTAACCCATGGGAACGGCTTTTCTGATGGCGGTTTGATGGAAAAGTCGAGCGGTTTTTTGCAGCTTTTCATGCTGTTTTCTGTAAGATTCTATTGAAAAGCGGGTGACTAAGTTTTTTGGCAAAAGAGACCGTTTTAGGCGGCCGAAATGATGTGTTTTTAGGCGCCTTTCGAAATTTTGAGAAATAGGGATTTGCGCACCTTTCATTTCATATTTTGCGATACATTTTTCGTAGTCTTTCCATTCCAATTTTTTCTCAAAGAAGCCGCACAAAATTTTGATCCAATTTGTAGGGAAACCTTAAAAAATTCAGAGGGGTCGGCCTTTTAGAGGATTTAGAGGTCTCAAACTTGAATTCGCTTTCTTGCTTGCTCTCTCCCTCCCTCGCTCTCTCTCACTCTCTCTCCCTCTCTCATTTTTTTTTATATCTCTCTATGTACCTTTACTATCATACTGATCAAATGCTTTATTTATCAAGCTTAACGTTCATAAGGTATCAATTTTCATTACTTTCTAATGCCACTTCTCTGTCGTCTATTTTAATCCCCGCCGGTCATTGTTTATACTTCTTCCTGGAGTGCGGCGCAAAAAGATGCCGTCGATTCCGGGCGGCCTACGCTGATGTTAGGGTGGTGAGTATGGAGCCCGATTTCCAAACAACTCGACAATTTCCTCGCCTATATATTTTTCCGCTTTTCCCGAGCCGTGTAAAACTACAAAAAATATCTCATTTTTCCGAGGTGCGAATTCCCCCGGTCAATCCAAATAGCATAACCCAATTCAGCCGGCGGGGTGCGATACCTCAACCTCATAACCGCCCCATAGCAATCCCCAACCAAACCAGCTCCCTATTCATATCCGGCGTTCCCCCCTTTTGCCCTATTCCCGGCTATTCTATCTAGCTATCTATCGGAAATCTTGTGCTCACTCTCTTTCTCTCTCTCTCTCTCTCTCTCTGTCTCTCGCTCTCTCGCTTACCAGATTCACCCTCACTTCCATAACCAACAGAACAGCTGCATTCCATCTATGGGCTAGCCCCGGAAATTGGGGTGGAATGGAATATTTTACATAGACATGCTAAAACAGGGTTCCGTTGTTGCGCAAGCAACAGTTTTCGACCGTTTTACGACCGTTCTTAGGTTTCCCCATTTTGTAAAAAAATGTGGATTAATAAGGAGCCACAATTTCCTAAAGCCGATTTAAGAATTTTGGTCCAGGCCAAAAAACTAACCGGCAGTAAATCTAAAAACAGACACCCTGAATCCGGTCAAATCGACCCCACTCGCCGTAACTGAAATATTTCTCGGAAAAAAGACAGAATTTTGCATTTTAGGTAATTTGAACTTTTAAATCCGCCGTTCTTTCCAATTTTTATCGCATCCCAAAAGAAATTAATGGCCCTTCTCAAATGGCCCAGACAATAGCACGGAACAGATCGGAAAACGGGGTGTACCCCCAGATTCTTTTTGTGCTAATTGGGGCCATCCAAAAGGCAATCCCACCCCTCCGACCGGAATTCCCCCTAGGTTTTGGCAATATCCGGCGGGTGGCCTAGTCAAGGGCCCTTGGGCCACAGGAGACCCCGCGGGGCCCAGATGCGCCCGCATTTTGTGGCGCCCATCCTTTTTCTTTTCTCTTTTCGAGGGGGGCATGCAGCTGAAATCCAGCTCTTCCTCCCCTGGTCGCTCTCGTCACCAATACAAATCGCTTAAATTGGCCGCTTTTTGTGCGTCAATCGGCTCATTTCGTAATGGGATTTGTTAAGAAATTTTCGGACTGTCTTATTGCAATTAGGAACGGGTGGACATTTTGGGAATTCTGCAAACGTAGCGGATAAATTGGCTGGGAGCCAGACGCTGCTTTTGCCGATATTTTGGGTGGTTGTTTTGTTCAGATTCTGGTTTAGGAGAAGGTAGAATCTCATGCTCAGTCTCACTCTCTCTCGCTCTCAGTATCTCTCGATTTCGCCTGATCTCTTTCTTTCCCTCCCTCGTCTGGCTCTTCTCATGCTCTCTATTTCATGCTCACCCCCTTTTTCTCTCCGTTTCCGTCTCTCTGTATTTCTCTCGCTTTCTCTCTAGCCCTTTCTCCAGGTCATGTGCAATCTCTCTTATGCTCAATGCCTTTCTATATTTATTTTTGTCTTTCTGACTTGCTTTAGCTTTCACTATCTCTTGTTCACTCTCTCTCGCTTTCCCTGACTCACTCCCTATTTCGCTCTTTCTCTCCCTCTCGAGCCATAACAAAACTTTTTAAAATCAGAAAAACGGATGACCGCCTAATCCTGATTTTCACGCAGGCGTAGACGTAGAATTTTTACAAAACCGTACCCGCACTTTTCCAAAAAAAATTCTCTGAATCCACGATCCCTGATCACTTTCCAGCCGTTTTCCCGCCCCAATATTTTGACCCATTAGAAAGGTGTCGTTTCCGGCGTCGATTTTCGGATTATTGCCCCTGTCGGCATTCTCGGCCCACTTAAAACTCAAAAATAATCCCCTCATGATCTTCGTCGAATGTCTAATGTATAATTTTTTACAATTATCACGTTTTTCAGTTTTGTTTTTAGTTTATTCTTTCGGATTTTTAGTTTCCTCGAAATGCTCATAAAATTTCGACGGAAAGCTGGATTTCCGTGACTTGATTATGCGCTACAACCGGTGGTTCTGCTGTGTGAGTTTGAGCATCTACTAGGGGGCTTGAAGATTGGTCTGGAGTTGGTAAAAGAATAGAAAATTAAAGGGTTCCAAAAATCGACCATAATATGGGCCTGAATAATTCGGTATTTTAGTCGTTCTACGCCCGGAAGCAACGGCGTCACGATGCGCACCAGGCTGTTCATCCCACGGCCTCTGGTAGGTTACACAGAAATGTCAAAATTCTGAGACTAAAGGAACAGGTAAGGCGGGCGCGCGGGCCGTAACTGGCGAGAACTAGTTGATCCCGGGGGTCGACTACACAGCTTTCTAGCATCTTGAAAGGGAGGATCAAGGGTAGACTGGGCTTTTTTGGATTTTATGAGAGGACCGTGACCGCGATACCCGACGCGAGCGCTAGCGGGTAGAAAGCTTAGCGTACACGTTGCGTATTAGAGCTTCAAAAAATTCTTTTGCGAGTAGTGTTTACCGAAATCCATAGCCAGACGGTTCCTTTAAATGCGAGCGTCAGAGATAAAAATGACAGAGAGCCAGAGTAAGAGAGAGAGAGAGAGAGAGAGAGAGAGAGAGAGAGAGAGAGAGGGGGACAGAGAGACTAGGTTTTCAACCTGAAAAGTTCTCTTTACCAGTAAAGCGCTTTTGGCGAATTACCTGGCGTAACTTATTACGCCAATTTTGACACTATATTAGAGGCAAATTCTCAGAATTTTCGAATTACGTGGCGTAATTTATTAGGATTTAGCTAGAGTACCTGGTTGCACCGATTTCCGCGATTTTCTTACAAACGATTTTCCAGGTGTTCACCAATCGATGGCCCAACAACAGCAGCAACCACCACCCCAACAGCTGCAACAGCTGCAGCAGCAGCAGCCCCAGAGCTCCGGCCTGCAACAACAACAACAGCAACAAGTACAGCAGCAGCAGATGATGGCCCAACAACAGCAGCAGGCCCATATGCAGCCAACGAATGACTACGTGCTCCAGCAACAACAGATCTACCAGCAGCAGCATAAGTATGTTTTTTTTTTGGTCTAATGGATAGAGAAAAATCGGTGGTAAACGCTGGATATTATTCTAAAGGTGCTGAGAAGGCTAGCAGCTTAAAAACGAGTCAATTTTGGGTAACTATGTTTTTCAGAAATAAAACCTGATATTTTTGCTTTTCCACGTCCTGATGAATTATTATAGAAAATGCCAATTTTCCCTGTTTTAATATCAAATGTTGTAAAAGTTTTAAAACATGGCTTTTGGCGTCCTTGTCTCTTCAAAGTCGCTGAAAAATCCATCTGGGCTTGAAATAAAAATTACGATAATTTTTCAAGATGATCTCAAACTTATAAAATAAGAGTTTATGCCTTTATCGCCCCTTTAAAAATGCTAGCAACCCAATTTTTTTGAGTTTGGCCAACTACCTTTGGTTTTTTACGATTTATCAGGTTGCTTTAATACTCTAACATTATCATGAGCTAAAAATCCGTTTAAAAATACCTTTTAATGTTCCTCCTATTTGCCATCCGCCAATTTGCGCTCAAAAAGTCAGCTGAGAGAGTGAGGGTCAGCTCCATCTCCGCCCGTTTTCTATTTTGCGCCCCAGCTCGGGGCAGATCTGTCACTTATCTGATAAGAGGGCGGTGGCAACGAAAGGGCACACGGCTCCCACAGACGAAATCCCGTGATTTCTCATTCGCCTATCTGGTAGTTTTTGATGTTAATTTGTTTTGATTTTATAACACTAAAACTTTAAGAAAGTTACTTTGCCTCTTCGTCCGTGACTTCCGCCTTTAAAGGAACTTACAAGGCATGGCAATCGATTTTGTGGACGGTTTTTCCTTTTCTGAATTTTGCAGCGGGCGGCGCAGTATCCCTAGGAAATTCGTAGTCAGTAGACTCCACATTTTTTCCTTATCAGTTCCTTTAAAGGAGCTAGAAAGCGCCAAAATCAACCCCTATTACCTAGCTGGGTCTCGACAGCTACGTACGACCCCAAATCACAGCTAAATTTTTTTGTTAGAGCTTAAATAAGCGTCTTTTGAGGCGTTGCGTAGTTGTCGAGACCCAGTCACCAACAAGGGCTGATTTTAGTCCTTCCTAGCCCCCTTAAGCATAAAAATTTGATCTGACTGCAACCCCAATCTAGCCAATGAGGAAACGTCTATTTGCACAAACTTTTTTCAACGTCTGCACCCCTAAAAACGGGCTTCAATTTGGCCGTTCCTACGTGGAGGGAACATTGCGAGTCCGCCCCTTTTGAGCTCAACCTCAAACAGCTCGCGTAAACTGCTAGGAGTCGTAGAAAGTTCAGGGCATTTTCTGTTTTCTGCCCCGACTTGTCGTCTCCTAGGTTTTGGTCCAAAATTTCTGCTTATCATTTTTGAAGGACGGAAAGTACCCTACTGAATCTCTAATTCCGGTTTTAGCATAAAAACAAGTATCGCTTGGCTGGTTTTGGGGGTATATAAGGTTTCGCGGAGGTTTCTGCTTTCAATGCGATTCTTCAGCTAGAATTTTTTGCGCTCCCTCTCTATCTCTCTCGCTCGCTCTTTCTCTCTCTCGCTCTCTTTCTTTGGCTCTTTCTCTCTCTCCTTGTTTCTCTTTCTAGATACCTCGCATACTTCTCATGCTCACCATCATGCTCACTCTCTCCCTTTCTCCCTTTCTCCCTCTCTCCCTCTCCCTCCCTCTCTCTCTCTCTCTCTCTCTCTCTCTCTCTCTCTCTCTCTCCCTTTCTCTCCCCCCCCCCTGCAAGCATCCCCAGTATTCTCTGCAGGCGTGCCAACCCATAATAAAAATCATCACTTTTCTTGCACTCCAAAAACCTACTACTCTCTCTGTGACAAGGTAAATATTACACACAGATCCCCGAAAATGAGTAATGGCCGGGCTTTGTCGAGCTAGTAGCCGAAAGAGACAGAGAGAGATAGAGAGAGAGAGAGAGAGGAGAGAGAGTGAAACAGAGAGAGCGTGTGAGATTGAGTGCCGACTAATTTCCCGGAATCCCCGTCCTTTGCTGCTGCTTGTTCTTCCCCATTGTCAGCTGCCCCATCCTCTAGGGCCCCTAAAACACTGGCGTGATCTTGTGCGTGTAATGGGGCGTTTCAGGGCGACCTCTCTCGGCAATTAGGCCTGCTAGTTAGATCTAACTAGGTGACATTTTTTTCCACAATTTTGGCAGCTAGTCAAGAACATCTCCTATTTTGATAAAACTTTCCGCAGATCGCGCTTTGAATATCTACACTTTTCGGTGATTTCTGGCAAATTTATCCTAGGTTTGTATTTACAGTATCTTAATGTAATGACATGTAATATTCGTTGCCGTAATGCACCTATTTCATCAAAAACGCACTAAAAAGCTTAAAGTCTTCTCAAGATTGTTTTTTTTTTGTTTTGGCGTCTACAACGAGCTAATTGCACTATTTTAGGACATGGTTAGGGTTATAAACCTCTCATTTCCCCGGGCACACGTCCCCTCCAAGTTCAAGTCCATAGTACCCCTTTTGCCAAAAGCCCTGTCCGGAGGCGCGTTGCGTAGTGCGTGTCCCGAGGCGCGATGGGAGGGGCCCGCTTTCACAAGGTCCCAGCCGGGCCTAAGGGCCCAACAGGACCTCCGGGCTTGTCATTTGACCCGGCGAACCGCACGGGAACGGGTCCCCATTTTGTACGAGCCATTAAAAAAAAATGACTACTGCGGTCGGAGTGCTTGAATTTGGGTTGTATAATGGCTATAGTTTCGGGTAGAATTACTTGTTTTCTTTCGCTATCTGAATATATATCTCTCTCTCTCTCTCTCTCTCTCTGTCGCACCCATTATCTCCTTCTGTTTTAATAGCCTTCTGTTTCAAACAATTCAAGGTTCCTGATCTTAAGCTGAAGCTCGTAAAATTTGCCATAGTCCCTCCCCCCTCTCTCTATCTCAATCTCGCCCTCTCTTCCTTCTCTTTCTCTCTCTTTCTCTCGCTTTTCAATCAACTTTTCGGCTTTTAGTCACATTGCCGAGATTCTCCGCCTGCTAGTCTATTTTCTAAAAGTCGTCTCGGCGCGCATTCGACTGATGGAGCTGCTGACTTCGGGAGCTCTGGTAGCCTATTGGCTACCAAAGCCCTTTTCACCAAAATATTACAAAATGTGGGACATCAAAAGCGTGGTTAAACAAGCTATTCGGGAAAATTAGCTGAAAAATGAAGTTTTAGAGTTTGGGATAGCCTTAAAGAGCTTTAGAATAGCTCTAAGGAATAAGCTAAATTGCTAAGTCTAAAGCTAAAGCGGATTATCATGTTTTTCTTTCAGATTCGAGCCCCTGCAACAAATCCCGGACCCAATCGCCCACTCCAGCCACCAGGACCCGAACTCTTTCGACCCGAACAAGTCGGCCAGGCAACGGGCTAGTCGGTGAGTATTTGGAAATTATGCGATATTTTGAAAGAGTACTAAAATTTGACGTTGATTACGTTAAGTAATTAGAAAAATTTGGGCTTTTAGGCTTTAAAATAGCGCTTCCAATAGTTTACAGCCCATCGTCAGGCATCCTATAAACGTCCCGTCTGTCACCTGGGTTTCTTTCGGTTTTTTAGTGCGGGTGACCGGTTCAAAAACCGGAACCCAAATATGGGCGAATTAGTCATTGGTACAGGCGCGTAGGACTCGACATCGCGACCGCAAAGAGTAGCGTCGTGTACTCGGTGAAATGGTTAACGGGAAAATCTAGGTGTTACGCTCAGAGCGCGTAATTCTGCCCCATCCTGGACACCTTCGAGCGTTCATTAATGTTATACTTGTCCAAAAATCTTAAAGATGTAGAGATTTCTGTAGTTTTTATCCTAGTTAGATAGTGATTAATATCAATAAAGTTTACAGAACGGTTTAGAGCGTAATTACGTTTCATACGGATCGATAGAATCCACACTTTTGAGGTTTTTGATCAGAAAATACCTTCCATAAACGACCGCAGCCCTGTGGTCTCTAGTCTAGCAACCATTCATGCGCAAATACCACCTTAAGAGCTTCTGTCACTTTGATCCGCTGTTCTGACAAAGTCCACGTGTAATTACGCGTAGTGTATCGGGGAGCCGTTCCGCGAAAAGCCTCTTTTACGCTTTTGCGCTTCAATTTTGAGGACAACATCTGGTTCGCAGCCACAGAGAGAGTGAGAGAGTGAGAAAGAGAGAGAGAGAAAGAGAGAGAGAGAGAGACAGAGAGAGAGAGACAGGAGAGAGCTTTGAACTATAAAAAGCGCAGACATACGGACAGACGGCTTTTTCCCCTTCGAGCCATGTTATGGGATGGGTGTCGAAAGTTATGTACAAAGTACATGACTTACGAGGTTTATTTGGTCTGTGGGGGCGGGCGGCCTTTCCCCGGGGGTCCCGCAGCGACCCTACTACGGTAGGTAAATCGCGCGGCCTAGGCTCTCCCCGCATTTCGGGCCACTTCTTCCCTTTCCAAAGGGAGTCGTTGCCGCCGGTCATATCTATGGCCGGTCGGGGATAGAATAGGAGCTGTGTGGCGGTTCATCTGCCCATAGCGACCTGTTAACCGGAAGGTGATTCCCATCCCCGTAGATCCCCATCTCGCCTTACCACCAGAGCTCTTTCCGCCCCCACTTGTATTACCTCCAGGTTCCCTGGCCTTGTGTATTTCCCCACGGTGTTCTTTCTATGTATTCTACTAATAAACCATTCTTATCTCTACGTCCTCTATTAGTGGTAATCGCATTGGATCTTATTCATGGTCTGCAGGTGTCATCTTCTTGGCATATATTAGTCTTACAGACCTCCACTGACCCGACACCCGTGTATAGGGAAGTGTGAAGGGTCGTAGGAGGAATAGGTGGCAAATCCCTCGCGTGGGCATTATTGGGATTTATTCCTAATAGTGCGGGATTGCTATTCCTTTTCGACATGGTGCGTCGAGCCGTTGAGATAGAACCCAGGTCAAGATCCAGTGCTTTTACTTTCTTTTTCTCCACTTTTTCCTATAATTATGGTTTTATTATTGTCCTCTTCTCTAATCCTTTTTAGAGCATCACAAACAGACATACAGAGAACACCGTGAACATTGAAACCTCGGTTTCACAGACCACCAGCTGCTTTATTGCCATCGATCAATGGCAATTTTCCAGTCGTCGAGACGCCCACGGCGGACGCTGGACCTCCCAGAAACAGTTTCAACGCCCAGCATCTAGCGCAGATGCACTCTTCAGCGCCAAGCACCCCGCGAACCCAAGAGGTACTGGCATTTAAATCCCTGGGTGCACGACTGGCCATCAGCTTATGGTCAATGTGCTTGATTGCGGTACGGGTTAGAGTTAGTCTCAACCCCACGCGGTGCTTCAGCTTGAGGGTGAGCGGGCGAAGAGGGGATAGATAACCAGTTTCTCCGAGAGCGGCGTGAATGTGAACCAGGTCTCCAGCTACAAGATGCCACCCAGACATCGACGTCAAATGTTTGGAGAACCCGGAGGCAAGACGAGAAGGAGCGGAGAAGCTTTGGGCGGAAGAAGAATGGCGATGATCTGCGCGATGTGGAAAAACAGTCCGGCGAAGCAGGAAACTTGGCGCAGCCAAGCCAGATCACGCTCCGTTTTACCCCCAGACCAGCCGCCAATTCATTTTTAGGTTTCCAGTCGGCCGGCATCGATGCCCGAAGGAAGGAAGGCCTGCTCAAAACAGTTCAAGCCGTGTTCGATGCGTTTGGAAGGATGTGGCGCGCAATCCAGTGGCTCGCGACAAGACATGTGGACCGTGCCGCCGCTTTTCTCACACACAGATCACGGGTAACGATTTTCAATTTTCGGAAAGTTGCTATTAATCGATTGCCGTCGCAGCTATTGATTTTTTGGCACCGGAAGAAAGTTGTTAATCGATTTTTGAACCAGTTTCGACTTTTTTCGAGGTGTTTGCGCGCTAGCGGCCTTGGGAAAGTCGTTGGCACGCTTTCGCTGTTCCCAGTCCATCAATTTAGGACAAAAAATTCTCCCACCCTTTTTGATTTGAGTTTTTTCTAGGCTTCGGCCATTTTTTCCAGGTTCTGCCGCTCAAGTATGCTGCCAAACAGTCGACAAGAATGGATGGGCGCGCAAAGAGGGCGTTCGCCGTCCTCCCCGCCCCACCAACAGTCAAGATTGCAGCATCGAATGGCCCATCCACGAAGAAAACACTCAGATCTTCGCTCCAGAAACATTACACGGAACTACTACAGACACAAGGAGCTTTTTAGCCGCGCAAATCCGTTTGCAAGGCTCACAGTTTCATCTTTTACGCGCATTACAAACAGCCCTTCACTTTTTCTTCGCTTCAACCGGCCCAAGCATCGAAAAAAGAAGAAATTCGCTGTGCTGGCGCAGTTGCAAGGAAGAAGGACGTGGCGTACAACGAACAGGCGATGAGATGGGCGTTGGCAGCAACAACACGATGATGGGCGAAGCAAAAGCAAAAGGTACGAGTTTTTTGGAAGGCTTTACCGCCGAGCTTGGGTGAAAGAGTTGTAGAGAACAGCTTGCTGTTTATCTATGATTCTGGATCCTAAAAGCTCTCGTTTGTAAGAGAATGTACGAGTTTTATTTCGCTAACATTCTCGAACATTCGTTTCCGAAGACTCTTGCCCTTTCGTCGCTGCGTGCTTTACATCCAGACCGCCACGCCGATCGTCTCTTGCCGTGATCCAGCATCACGAAAAGAAGAAACAAACAGATCTTCGTTTCTTTTTGTATTCACACCAGAAAGGAGTTTTCTTTTTTTTGCGGCGCTATGGCCTTTTCAAAATTCACACACAGTCTCCTTCATCGCACGTTGTCCAGCTCGATCGCCTCGTGTCCGGACGCAGCCGGACGTAAGAAGTTACTACGGACAACAAGCATGGAGATCAAGGAGTTCAGCGCGCCGCAGAAGGAAGAAGAGCCTCTCGGGCTACAGTTTACAATCAGAAATATTTGGAGAATGAATTTCACTTTGTGATTTTCATTTTGCACAGATCTTCGTCCCTTTTCTTTGCCCACCCACAGTTCTCCATCGACGGACAATCGCAAGGAATCGGTGGCGATTGCGCGCTTTTCGCGGGTTTCATTCCTGCGATGGCATTAGCAATTGCCTCGTAACCAGCGTAATAAAACACAGAACGGAGAATTGTTTTCTTCTTTATCCAGGCCTTCCCTTCAGCTCATGTGGATGTTTTCAAGTACAGCGACACCATGAAGCAGCCCTTCATCTACACACAGCTGCTGCGGAAAGCCAAGAAGAAGCCCCGCGTTTCGAAGACAATGAAGCAAGCTTCGGCTTGGTTTCACAGCACGCTTCGAAGAATGCTGATTTGTTTTGGATATTACATACAGTCCTTCCACTACGTGACCTACGGCATGCCTACGCTTCCGTATGGCTACAATCAACAATATGGCTACGATGGAAGGGCCGAGCACAACAAACAGTCAACTTCGGCGATTACGCTACGCTTTCCCTCCCAGTCATCAAGAAATTGAAGACAAACAGTGCCATTGCGTTGCGAGATGAAAAGCGAAGCCTTTTACAGAGTTAAATCCCTTTTTCAGGCTTTCGGTACGCGCCCTCCTCTCAGCACTTCCGGTGCTGTTGGTGTGTGTTGCCGATCAAGCCCAGGACGCCGTCGTTACAAGAAAAGATGCAGCTCGCCTCGCACGTGATGCCACAGCAGCCTTGGGAAAGCTATTACACACAGATCGCCTTTATTCTTTGGCGTAACCCGCCACTTTCACAACCAGCCCGACTTTGAGCCGTCGCGTTTGCGTCATGGTTCTTTGTCAAAATTTGCTTTTGTATTACACACAGCTTGCCTTCAAAAAATTTTGTTTACATCCAGATCTCCCTCCTCCAGTGCCAGTTCTACACTTCTACGCCGACAGCTGTCACTCCAAACTGATCGTTAACATATTGCGTGACGTACGGTTTGACAGTCTGTCCCCTTCGTCTTCCGGGCACCTCAGACCTGCAGCGGCGAGGCTTGATATACATACAGTTCTGCCGTCCGTCACCGAATCTACAGCACACCAGGCCTTAATATAGTCCAAAGGACCAGAAATAACTCTGGAATCCTAGGCTATTCCCGCCTGCAACGTTTTTATAGCGTTCGAAATTGGACACAGAGCTTTTTGTTTCTAGCCTTACGCACAGCTTTGCGTTTGCGTTGGCCAAATACCAGGCCCCAGTTCATCAAGCGGCTCATAGAGCGGCGAAATTTGGCATTCCTGACCACGTGAGTCAGATGTCAAATCCACAGACGCCTGGAGCAGGAACGAGTGAGTGGTGGGAGTTTTCTCTCGCCCTCCCCTCCCCGCCAACGTTTACATACAGCTACTGCAATGGTCTTTTCCCCGTCCACACCCAGTTCCTCAATTTTGTCTACACTCAGAAACGGTCTCTTCACTGCCGTGGTTGCTGCTGCCCCAAGTACTCAAGCTCTGCACAAGTTGGTCAAGCTCGTCATCAAGCCCGCCCCTCTTGGTCAAGCACTTCCTCAAGCCGGTCAAGCTCGACATCAAGCACTTCAAGTCAAGGACGACAAGTCGATCAAGAGCCATGCCGTGCCCACGTCTCCATCCTGCAAGCAGTAACCAAGTACGTGTTGTCCCCAGCTTTCCGATAGGAGTTCGGGCTCCTTAGCGTCGGTTAGCTTCCCCCTCCCTCATTTTGTCTCCTTGAGCCCCAGCCCCTAGGACCTAACCTATTTTTCGGCCCCTCCCGCCCCAGAAAGCGCCGTGATACCTTATACCCAGCCCAGCCCTACCCTTCCACTTTACTTTGTGCGGTAGAGCTCTCACCTCCACCTATCTTTGTCTCGGGTATAGGTCTCACCACCTTTTTCGTCGGGGCCCAGGTCCCACCACTCTCTCCTGCATTCCAAGTATCCTCACGCCTTCCACCCAACACTAGACTGGACCAGGTACCCTTATCGCCCAAGTTGTGACCACCACCCTGGTGCGATCAATGTAAGCACAATCCAGTCCTTCCCTGGTCCAGACCCTAGTAGCCCCTGAAGCCTCGCGGCTGACGGGCCTCGACAAGGCGCGACCTCTCGGCTTCTTGTGGGCCGGGAGTGTCGAAAGTTATGTACAAAGTACATGACTTACGAGGTTTATTTGGTCTGTGGGGGCGGGCGGCCTTTCCCCGGGGGTCCCGCAGCGACCCTGCTACTGTAGGTAAATCGCGCGGCCTAGGCTCTCCTCGCATTTCGGGCCACTTCTTCCCTTTCCCAAGGGAGTCGTTGCCGCCGGTCATATCTATGGCCGGTCGGGGATTGAATAGGAGCTGTGTGGCGGTTCATCTGCCCATAGCGACCTGTTAACCGGAAGGTGATTCCCATCCCCGTAGATCCCCATTTCGCCTTACCTCCAGAGCTCTTTCCGCCCCCACTCGTATTACCCCCAGGTTCCCTGGCCTTGTGTATTTCCTCACGGTGCTTTCTATGTATTCTACTAATAAACCATTCTTATCTCTACGTCCTCTATTAGTGGTAATCGCATTGGATCTTATTCATGGTCTGCAGGTGTCATCTTCTTGGCATATATTAGTCTTACAGACCTCCACTGACCCGACACCCGTGTATAGGGAAGTGTGAAGGGTCGTAGGAGGAATAGGTGGCAAATCCCTCGCGTGGGCATTATTGGGATTTATTCCTAATAGTGCGGGATTGCTATTCCTTTTCGACAATGGGAAACAGCAGCAGCAAACGCACGCGTAAATAAACATCCTGCCATGTGGACTTTCGTTTGTCTCGCCTGGCCTGTCGGGACCCCCCATGGGGCTTAAAATCAGCTGGTTATCAACCCGGGTAACACACACAACAAAAGCACACCGCTTAAGAAAATAAACACGTCAAAATTGAGGGATTGTTGGTGGTGTACAGTGGGGATCAAAGTAAAAAAAATGGCGTTTAAATCGAAAAGTAACGTTAAAAATTCGAAAATGAAGATTTAGGGCAAAGAGAGGCGAATAATTAGTACCAAACTCCCAATTCAGGAGTATAATTTAAAAACAATTGTAGAAATTGCTAAATTAAGGACATGAAAAAGACCGATTTGCCCCGAATTAAGCATTTTAAAGTTAAACCCCATTTAAACCATCCGATTTTTCTGATTTTTCAATATTTTTAGTGTATGAAATTTTCATTAATCCTCTCATTTCATTTCTTTTTAGCAACGGCCCGAACAACGACGGCTACGACGATGTCAACTTTGACTATATCGTCAAGGAGGGCGAATTTTTCAACAATCGATACCTTATTATGGGACCGATTGGGAAAGGGTCGTTTGGTCAAGTGACGAAGGCGTATGATAAGGTACGAATAAACGTAAATACGCTAAAAACAATGCTTTTCAGGTCGAAAAAGAGTACGTGGCGATAAAAATCATCAAAAACAAGAAGACGTTCTTCGACCAGGCCCAGATTGAGATTAGGCTGTTGGAGATGATGAATCGACACGATTCGGAGGGGAAATATAATATTGGTAGGTCATTTAATCTTATAATAATCACTTAACTGTATTATTCGATTTGTATACTATATACAGGGTGCGGCAAAAGTATTGTCGCGACTTTCCGCCGACTGTATCTGCGCGGAAATGTGACAGATATTCTAGCCAAAAATCTATTTTCTGCAGTTTTTAATGCTTTATCCGATGATAACATTTACTTCTAGAAATTTTAATTTTTTTTTGTCTCCAGGACAACTTTTTCCAAAAATCCTGCAAATTCAAGCCTAAAAACTGCTTTTTAGACGCTCTCTAGGTGGCCAAAGAATGGTATCTACGCCAAGCTTTTTATTTCATTCGAAAGAGCAGATAAAATTCTGCTTGAAATACCATCAACCAAAGAATGTTGCGGCTCCTTTTTTGAGGGAGCCCTATTCAAAGAAGAGGCAAACCCAGTGCGCCGCACATGGCCGCCCCGCATGCAAAAGCGAGATTGTGCCGTCCGCAAAGCAATGATAGCCTTGCTAATTTTTCTCTGGTTGATTCATGCTACTTTTTAAATATTCCCGAAGTTTGAGCCCTGTAATCCCGACCTGGTTCGAAAACATACGTTTTCTTGCCTGCTTGCAATTGCAAGCTAATTTTTTTTCAAATCAGAGGTGGATAGCGATCAGGATTTAGCGCATCATGCACATTAAAATAAGCAAACAGCAAGCATAATAATATAATGTTACGTCATCCCCTGAGAGCTCCTTCAGAAACTAAAAACCCCAAAAACCCAAGCTTCTCGCGAAAGCGGCCAAATTGGCCCATTTTCGTCAAACATGGCTGAGGCCATAAGTCCTTCAAATCACAAAATTATAAGGTTTCCATTTTGGACGACGGAGAACAAAGCAAATGCTATCAGAAACACATATGAAAAGTCATGGTGACAATTAGTCTCCGAATTTAGAACCCTATTTTGACGAACGGAGGGCGCGGCGCACCGTGATTTTTAGTCGTGTACATCATGCAATGAAACTCGCTCAAAAATCATGATTCCAAGAAACTTTCAAAAGCAGATTGCTGCCTTGGACCTGTCTGAAGCTAACCCTGTTGACAAAACTTCCCGATTTCTTTGTCGCGAATCAGATATGAGGCAAAAGCTCGCGACAATACTTTTGCCGCACCCTGTATAACGTTAAGAGACGATAAAATTTTATTACAGTTATTTAATATCGATTTTATCGTTTTTTGATTGCTAGACTGTTCTAGTATTGAAATAATTTTAACGCGTTTTTGAAGATTTTAATGTCGATTTTTATTTAAATAATACAAACCAGAGTTGAAAAGCCGCTTCGCGACTTTTCAACCCTGGCCCCGTCTGATCTCACGATATACTTAACTTTGCATAATGTTTGGATTTCCGATGACAAAAATTGAAAATGGCGCTCTCTACCCCATGATATAGGCCAGCGGAACCTCCGGCGCATGCTAATCTTTTCCTAACAAAGAAGGTCGCCAATTTTTTAACAAAAACCTAAATTTAATGTCGAAAATAGGCAATTTTGATAAATCTGATAAGCGTGCAGTCATCCCAGAGCCATTACGCACCTAATGACGTATCATACGTGGCCTAAGACCCTTTCCCCATTGAGATATCCTCCGGACACCCTGACGGAAGTTGCATGCAAAGTGTCACACACACACACACACACACACACAGACACTATTTTTTTATATAGTAGGATTATTATGCTAAACCTGAAATTCAACTAATAAGCAAAAAAGCCGTTGCGGTTTTTCTAAAGGGCAGGCTAGCAGAGGTTTTTTGGACGGTTTCGGTCTTTCTAAAAAAAAAATACGAAAATACATAACTGGACCTTCAAAATATCTTTTTTTTTGTAGATTATTTAGTCTAACTCTATTAAATAGCAAGAAAATAACAAATTAAAAAGTAACCTAGCAGAGATCATTAGGGAATTTTGAATTTTACGAAAATTTAAATCAGCTTTTTTAGGTTGTTTACCCTTAAAACTAGCCTTTTTCAGTGCAACTGAAGTCCCACTTCGTCCATCGCAACCACCTCTGTCTCGTATTCGAGCTGCTCAGCTACAATCTCTACGACTTGTTGCGAAACACCAACTTCCGAGGTGTCTCCCTGAACTTGACGCGGAAGTTTGGGCAGCAACTTGCCAAGACGCTGCTCTTCCTGTCTACACCCGACTTGTCGATCATCCACTGTGACTTGAAGCCGGAGAATGTGTTGCTTTGTAACCCGAAGCGGTCCGCCATCAAGATTATCGATTTTGGGTCGTCTTGCCAGACGGGCCATCGGATATACCAATATATTCAGTCAAGGTAAGCGTTTTAAAGCATACATTTGGCTTAAAACGTTTTTACAAAAAATTCTTTCAAGAGCGCTCAAAAGTTTAAATCTGCACTACGCTACTTACCTGAAGCTAAAAAATTTTCTTAGTTTTTTGAAAACCCGGGCTTGCAAAAGTTAATGCACCACAAAATGAGCTTGAAAATATATAGCCTTAATTCTTACCTGAAATTTCAGAAATCTTTTTAATTCGGGCTTTACAGTTCGTTTAAGACAAAAAAGACATCAATCACTAGGTGATTTTCCAAGCCCTTCAAAACCACCATGCTTGAAGCTCTAAACCCCCTTGTTTCCAGATTCTACCGCTCTCCCGAAATCCTGCTCGGCATCGCTTACGACACGAAAATCGATATGTGGTCGCTGGGTGAGTGTTCCAATGGGGCCAACTTCTGTGATTTTTTGTGTTGAAAAAAAGAGTGTCGCCTGTATCGTGATGGAACAGACGAGTTTTTGCACCTCGCTTACCTCGGGGCACACAGCTGTTCAGGTCTTTTGGACTTGCAAAAGGGGCGAGAGAGGGAGAGCGAAAGAGAGAGGGAGAGAGAGAGGGGTCGATAGTTGATAGTTCGAGGAAATATGAGTCATGGGTTTGGGGTAGAGCACGGGGGGACCTGAGGAAAACGTGAAACTTGTGAAATCGAGCCCCAGGTGGTCAAGGGAAGACTCTAGGGGTTTAACAGAAATGGTCATTTTTAGGGAAGTGTAAGGCGCAATCTCCTTACCATGGCGTAATGAATTACGCGCCGAAAAACAATCCTGGCGTTAGTAACGATAGTCAAAAGTCCATGATCTTGCCTTAACCGGCTCTTTAAATGGTAATAAGCATCCGCAAAATTGACCCCTTCTGTCTACTAGGTCTAGACAGGCATGTTCCACTCCAAAATTTAAGCTTAACGACGTTTCGAGACCATTGAGGTAACCAGAAAAGCGTTAACTGGAGTATCTCGTAGTTGTTGAGACCTAGTCAAGTTAGTGGGGTCGAATCCAACCATCCCAGACCCGTTTAACGGTCTGGGTCTTACATCGTTAAAGTATACAGCAAGCGCTGCTACAATAGTTTTGAAAAACGAATGGATTAAACAATTACAACCAATTACCTTCGGTTTTTTTCAGGCTGTATCCTGGTGGAGATGCACACCGGCGAGCCGCTCTTCGCCGGCTCCTCCGAGTTGGACCAGATGATGAAGATCGTCGAGGTGTTGGGGATGCCGCCCAAAGAGATGTTGGATCAGGGGCCGAAAACGAAGAAGTATTTCGATAAGACTGAAGGTGAGTCGAGGGAAAATTTTAGCGTACCAGTGTTAATATACCTTTAGTTCCTTCTAAATTTGAGAATTATTGATTTTTTTTTGTGCACTCGAAGATACAAACTACTTTTCCAGATGGTGTCTACTACTGCAAACGTGCTCGTGGCAGCTACACGAAACCGTACGAGCCGCCTGGCCACCGAAAACTTCATGATATCCTTGGAGTAACCAGTGGAGGACCACATAGCCGGAGAGCTGGTGAAGCTGGGCATTCTGTCGAGGACTACTGCAAGTTCAAGGTTGGTGTGAGAGCGAGAAAGAGAGAGAGAGAGAGCGAGAGAGAAAGAGGGAGAGAGCGGGACAGAGAGAGAGAGAGACAGAGAGATAGTGATAGAGACAACTAAAATCTCAAACCTTTCAGGACCTCATCAAGCGTATGCTCACCTACGACCCCAAACTGAGGATATCCCCGCATTTCGCGATGCGACACCCATTTTTGAAGAAGACCAAGGAGGAGCAGGGCTCAAGTATGGCAGCCCCACAACAACAACAACCCCAACAAGTCCAACAAGCGCAGGAGACGGTAGGTGGAGCAGCTTTTAGAAAGTCACAAGTTTTCATTGAATAAAAAAAAACAGAAAATTAGAGCTAATCAGTAAATCATATGTTTGCAGCCGCGATACGCGCAGGAAATGTGGGGCAGTCAGCAGATGGACACGAGCGAACCGATGGACCCGAATGCACAGCAGCAAATGGGATATGCGCAAATGCCCGGGCCGTCGGCTGTGCAGATGCCACCACAGATTGATGTGGGTTTTTGATAGTAGTATGATTTCTATACAGGTACTGTAACTTTTCAAGTGTTAGTTTTTTGTCATTTCAGGCCGTTTTCGATACCTTTCAATAGCCCAAATACGAAGATTTTTATAGTACACCCGCCGGGACAACAACGACCCAACGAAGCCGAATTTCGGAGGCCACTTTTCGTACTCGACGAACGATATGTACCATCCGAATGTGAGTTTTTTGGGGTTTTCTCGGTGGGCAAAACAAGTAAATGACAAATGCAGGTTTTTAGTTGATGTAAATAATGTGAATAATTTCTAAAAATAATTCCGAAAATCTTAAAATTTATCGGGATCGGACGTTTTACCAAAGATCTTCGAGTCTAGTATCAAATTTAACCTTATGATTTGTGTATTTTCAGGGCGTTGGCCAGGGCCCGATGCGGAACCACTCGTTTGACTCGCGTGTGGCCCCTCAACCTCCAAAAGCCCCTCCCGCCCCGGCCCCGAATCAGCCCAGCTACCCAGGTTTTCAGCAAATGGGCCAGCCACAAGCACCTAGTTTTACTTAAACATTTTTAAGCTATATAAACCTTTGCTTTGCAATTTTATACAAATTTTTGTAAGATCTGAGAATCGTTCAAAATCTCAATTTTATAACAATTTTTAAAATCGAAGAATACTCATAATTCCATTAAATTTGCATATTTCCGAATTTCCACGCTTTTGCTTTGAAACCCGGCTTGGACTTTTTTCGAAAAACCCAAAAGTTGCCGGTCCATATAATCCGGTCAACCCTAAAACATAGACATTTTTTGGGAATTTTGAGATCTGGGTTTTGGGGCTGAAAAGGGAAAAATTTCCGAAAATATGCAAATTTGACCCTTGAAACCGAAAGATTGAGATTTTAGCGATTTTCTACTCTTTAGAATTTTGGTCCATGACTTAGAATTTTTCTAAAATTGACAGCGCCTTTAAAATCCTTAAAAAACGCTTGTGGCTCTCATTTTCTGAGCTCCCGCTGCTCCTAGCTCCTTACAGGGTTTTTTTTGTGAATTGGCCGATTGCCAAGTCGCAATTTCTTTTTTTTTGTGGATTTCCTTACCCCACGTGCCTTCACCGTTCCTTTAATTTATTGATTTTTCGTTGCTGACATTATACCGATTTGGTGCCCAATTTCTTGGCTTTCACACACACCGTATCCCCCCTATAAAATCTGCTGCAAAAAACCCTGAAAAACTTTCCTATGCTGAAAAAAATTTGCGCAAATTGTGATCCCCCGTCTACCCCCGAAATGCCGGCGACTGTCTTTCGGTGTCGAAAAAAGACAATTTAAAGTGATTAAAAATTCAGAAATCCGGAAAATTGCCGACCCACGGTACCCTGCTTTTTAAATCAATTTAAAACCTTAATGAAATATTTTCAAAAATCTAACTAATGCTCTAAAACTATTTAAAAATCAATTAAGTGCTAAAAATAGCTCTAATTCCTGTACCCAAATTCTTAAATCGATGTGGAACACAAATTAAAGCCTGAAAATACTTTAAAACCATGTAAAAATGAATAAAATTCTAAAATGCGCTCTACCTACCGTACCAAACTTTTTAAATCGATTTAGAATCATGCGAATTTTAAAAAATGCCCCACCTACCGTAACCCAATTTTTGTAAAATTCGTGCGATGTACATAACATTTCTTTGTCCATTTTTGAGAGAGAAAACTATCCTACTATACTATAAAAAAACCCCGTTCTCACTACCCCCATATATTTCATTTTTCCTATATTTGTCTTTTTCTACGCGTATACCAATTATTGATTTGCTCATCACCCGCCGCGCGGCGCACCGCCCCTTTTCGCGTGCGTTTGTGCGTGTTTTTCCACTTTTTTTTATTCGTGTATGTTCGTTTCGTGTCCTTCCTGAACCATTTGCACAAGGAGATAAACATGTAAAAATTGTAAGATGGTCTAAAAAATTACACAGCAATATCATATCTTAAATTATATAGATTAAGCGTGTTAAAAACGCGACGCTACGGAACTGCAGAATACAACAAATCACAGGCAAAGAGTACCCTGCACGGTAGCGAAATTCACCCTTTCAAAGGTAACGATTTCGACAAAACATTTTTCGGAATTTAGTTTCGTAAAGTAACCTATTCGAAACGTTTTTCTTGTTTTCTTTATCACTTTTTGCTTTTAGTCTTTTCGAACATTTTCTGTGGAAAAAGTGCGTTTTAGGATTCAATTTTTCCACCAAGCTTGCGAACACATGATTGATTTTTCAAAGACGTTGTTTTACGTAAGTTGGTTTTCGAATATGTTATTTTCGAAAAGTGGAATTTCGAACAAATGATAAGTAAAATTCCGAAGCTCATCATCTCGAAAACTCTGCGCTATTTTGCCAATCTTAAAAGGGAGAAAATTGCTTGGTGAGATCCCGAACGCGCGCCTAGGTGGTATGCAAATTATGACCGTCTGGGTGCTAATGCAGTTGGGGGGGGAGCAGTCCGAAATTGGTAGTAAGGGGCTACGAGGCGCTCGCTTACGCTACTTGGGGTTTAGGTTAAGCTTAGGCTTAACTTAGCCTTAAATATGCTTAGCTTAGGCTTAGGCTCATGCGTAAGCACAAGCTAAGCTCATCTTAAACTTTAAATTACCTTACGAGGTCAAAGTTGGGTCATTTAGGGCCTCGCTTAGATCTAAGCTTAGCTTGGCTCAAACTAAGCTCATGCTTCGTTTGTATGAAGCCAAGCTTAAGCTTACAAGGAGTCGTTTTTGGGTGATATTGGAGTTTTTGAGCGAGACCTAGCTAGTTCGATAGAGAAAAAAATTCTGAACAAGATGTCGTTTTCCAAATCTGCTAACCGTGTACGCTGTTCAATAAAAATTAATTTGAAAATCATTAATCTAACCATCATTTTCCGCCTGATCCGCAGATTCTGCGCTTTGGGTGCGCGTCAACATAGCCGCCTTTAGGCCTCCCTCCAGCCATGACCAGCTGGCCTATTGGTAGTGCGCTTGCCCCATAAGTTTTTGTCTTTTTTTTGCCTGCGGGTTCGACCCCTCGCTGGTAAAACTCTTTTGCTTTTTGCTCGATAATGCCAAATTCGATTTCAATGGCATGAAAAACCAAAAAGCAAAACAATAAATCACAATAAGTTCCGAACCCTGAGAATAATTTTGCAAAAGTTTGTTAGTCGCCGGCACTATCCACTAGGCCACGATCTCATGTGGATCCTGGTTCGCGCTGTGGGCTATGTCCCGGGCCTGATCCTTGGGTCGCAGCCTGACGTCCAGGAATTTTTTCATTAAAATTAATTTTTATTGAATACAGTACACGGTTAGCAGATTTGGAAAACGACATCTTGATCAGAATTTTTTTCTCTATCGAACTAGCTAGGTCTCGTTCTAAAACTCCAATATCACCCAAAAACGTCTCCTTGTTAGACTTAGCTTAGCTTTTCGAGAAGCTTGGAGTTTAAAAAACGGCATTTGGAGCGTCGGATCCGGACTGCCCCCCCCCCCCAAGTGCATTAGCACTACCGTCTGATTGTGCTATGTATTTTACGCGCTATTAGATAGGTTTTCATCTGTTTTTGCCTGGCTGTTCGTTTACTGCTATGCAAAATCCCGATCTTATCAATCCTGTTAAACCGTTTATTATAACCAGGTAAGGCACACAAAAGGTACAAGTCATGGATATTGCAAGGCAGCTTTTGGACTACAACGAAAATTTAGAGAATGGTCACATCGCAGCTACGGCAATGAGAACAGTTGGTAGAGAAAAAGGGACTGAAAAATGTTAAGTAAGTCGGTCATGAAGCTCATCAGACGATCCCGTGGCGGTAAGGAGATGAATCAAAGCAAAAGGTCAGCTTGTAGTTCATAGCTATGAGTGGTTTTAGAAACAGGAAGAAAAGGAGAAAAGGTCTATGTCGGCTTTTTAGAGAATCTTTGCACATTTATATGAACTTGTTGAGCTCGTGGTTCTCTAGAAACTGGCGAGAATTGAGGAAATTTTTCAGTTCGAGCATCTACTCAAACCGAGCTTTCGTGAATTCCGGGTTGTCCAGCACATTCTCGAGGTCAACAACAATTTTGGGCCTGGCGAGGTCAGCCTGGTGAGCCGAGAGGGAACTGGTGGTGCTCGAGGCCGAGCTGGTCGAGGCGTTCGAAGCGGTCCTGTGTTCCTGGGGCAAAACTCCACCCGCAGCCAGGATGCCCTTCTCAATGGCCACGCGCTGCATCTCGAGGACACGGTGGAGGCGGCTGTTCTGAAAAATGACAGCTGATTAAAGGGACGAGAAAGGCATATCTGTGGAATTTTTTTGGCTAAGGATTTTGATATGAATCCGCTGCAACGGGATACGCAACGCGACACTCTGCTTCGCCTTGCGTTGCGTAATAAGTTACAATCCCTACGCCGTCGCCAAGTTTTGTGCGTCGCGTGTCGCGGGCGGAATATTTTGTGGATCTGTATCTACCCAGTATCATAGTCATACCTTAAAGGGACAAGGATGCTAACTTTCAGAAGTAAGATCCGTTCTATGCTATGCTTTAACTGCCCCATCAAAGGTGCCAGCAAGTTCCAAAATCGACCCTTCAGCTAGCTAGGTCTCGAATTACGCAATGCTCCAAAGCACATTAAAACTCTTCTTTTTGCGCAGCGCCTAGATAAGCGTCTCGAGGTGTAGCACGTAGCGCTTAAAACCTAGTCTATCGAAACATCGCTCTTTGGTGCTACTAACCTCCTCCAACATCCGCGATGACAGGTTGTTGTGGCCCATCACGTTGCGAGCAAGCCTGAAGTCGACGCACACTAAAAAACGATGCAAGCTTGAAATCTGCGTTCTAGCTATCCTGTCAAAAGTTACATATTTCATCATCACACGGGCCGCTATTTTAATTATTATAATTTATCGTATTTAGCATCGACCGAAAACTTACTCCGATAAATCGAGTGCAGGGCGGCAGCAAGGAGGAACAAGGCAAGGGCAATCAGGAACGCCTGAAAATTTTATATCATCTAACAAGGAGACGTTTTTAGGTAAGAACTAGTGATGGGGTTATTCAAATCAAATCTTGAGTCAAATCTGAGAGCTCAAATCTGAATATTTGAAGGCAAAAATTTCAATTTCAAATCGGCGGATTTGATTTGAAACCCAGTGGACTAGTTCAAATCAAATCCTGAGGATTTGATTAAGCTTCCGGTCCTTAATCAAATCCTATGG